TTCTCATGTCCATGCATCTTGATGTCGAGATGATCGATTTAAATATAATTGAGTATCAATATAACCTCTTCTAGTGAAATTTTTAGGATAAGGTCAAATTTGATTGTTTAAAGCCTCGGCTCTATATAAACTTTTCCCTTTAAATATTAAAGTAAAATAAACAACTCTAACATAGTTTTTGGATATCGTTTCATTGTATTACTATTGTATTACTATACAACTATTACATGAAACACTTATTAGTAAGTAATATTGTTAAAACAAAATTAAAATTAGAACTATAATCACTTATGTGTAGTTACTTCATGCAATTTACAAAAGGCAAATCTCGCATCTTCTTGAAAGTAGTATTTTTTATTAGGTGACACATCCAGTCAGCAAGTTGTCTTTTCACCGACCTTTGACAAATAATTTGGTATGGCAAAGTTGATTGTACATGAAATAAATGACGTCACGGCAGAATAAATAGCCCTTTAACTTTTAAATTTTTTATTTATAAATTTAGAAAAATGATGGATAACATCACTTAGTTTTTTTGAAAAATTACATATACACAATTTTTTAAAAAAGGTGATTTTATTTTTTTTCGGATGTTGAATAACCGAATTGGAGGGTTTTTCGGATGTTCAACATCCGAAAATAGGCCGAAAGTTTAATGTTTACATTCACATTTTCGGGTGTTGAACATCCGAATTGAAGGTTTTTCAGATGTTGAACATCTAAAAATGATGTCGGATGTTGAACATTTGAAAAACCCTCCAAATCGGTTGTTCAACACTCGAAAAAAGGTAAAGTCGTATTTTTTAAAAACTTGCGTTATAAAAAGCACAAAACAGATATACATGTAATAACAGAAACTATTTTGTACATCCGTAATAATGCTAACGGATATTTATGTAATTTTATCTATTTTTTTAAAAATTTATATTTTATATTTTTTTTTTTCAAATTTACACTTATATCCATTTTTCCTCTATTTATTCTTAAAATTATCTCTACGGACCTAATAGGTTTGTAGGCCTGTAGAGGGTCCAAGCCTTTGGGCTCTACAAACCTAAGTACTTGATAGGGCCTTTATGGTCCTATTTGGTCCACAAAGGTCCCGAGCTTTGCGGCTCAATGGATGTAAGCCCGTAAATGGCCAATTGTAGGCACCTAACTTTTTAACATTTTACCCCTTTTCAACTATTTCATCTTGTGGTTATTTTTATTTTGATGTGCATTTTGAAATTAAATCAAAGTGCATCAATAAAATATTAAATTGTTGATCTCTTATGTGATGTTTGAAAAATTTCTCAAAAAACTAAAAAGTGAAATAAAATAAATAAAAAATTAAAAATATTTAGTAAAATAACTTGAGAGTATAGGTTCTTGCGTCCATTATAGAGGATGAATATCTACATGTCTAATATCTAACAAAGAAAACGAACTTCAAATACAAAACATTCATATTTTATGAAATGCTAAAGCAATTCAAAGGAATCAAAGTACATCATCAAAAAATTATAGTAGAATAAAAAATTAAAAATAAAAACTAACACCAAATAAAACAAAGAACTAATAAATTTGATTGGGATAGCTATAAAAAATAAAAAATAATAAAGCTTTAATTATAATAGAAAACCAAATAAATTAATCAACAAAATAACATACCATTAAAGATGTATATGAACATTGTCAAGCACTATGAGTTAAATATGAATACTTCCACAATGTGAAAATAAATAAAACAATTTATGTGAATAGAAAAATGAAGAAAAAAAGCTCTAAAGAATTCTATAACATAATTAAATAAAAAATAAAAAATAAATGAAGAAACAATAAATAATAAACCTCTGAGGACGATGAGAAGGGGATGAGGGGGAAAGTCCAATGAGATGGGGAAGTGGAAAAGGTATGGAAATACGTGAAGCAATCACTCTCTCTCTTTTTTTTGGTAATTCAGTAGATTAAGAGTTAGCTTTTTGAAGGTATTAATGGGTGGTGTTAACGGTGGGAATTTAACTAAGATGTGGGATGCCTCTTAAGCCTCGTTTCGTTTTCCTCTCTGTTTATCTCTATCATATCCAAATTCTCTTATTGATCTATTGTAGAAGAATGTGGGTGGAAAAAAAAAAAAAACTAATCGATAACAATATATCCATATTAGAAAAAAATTGCTTTGGTTTCGTCAATTGGATTTCCTAAAACCATGGGAAGGTGATACTTGAGTGTCTCTAAACTCTTCATCCTTTGATTACCCCAAAAAAGTCTCTATCATGAAAGGTGGGGTGACAATGCATTGAAAAAACCCAAAAGTCTAGAGAGAGAGCAATGGAGAAGGGTGGGGAAGCTGAAGATGGAGAAGAGGCAGGTATGGTCTCCATCGGGTACGATTTGTCAGGAGGAATATTGTCAGGGGCAAGATTCCCAGTAGTTGGTTCTTTTTCTCCCCATTCAAACGACATTTTTGGCCTTTCCGATTGGGCTAGAAGGAACTGAAGGTTGTCGTATGCCCTGAAAGTTAAAATAATGGGGGAGAATAAGATCGTATGTTTTCTCTATTCAAAGGAGGATTCTTCGATAGCTTTAAAGAACCGGTTTGTGCGCATTAGGGGTAAGCTTCTTTCTCTTGATCTTTGGAGACTAGATTCTCATCTCTCTTACTGGCGAAAGCAGAGTTCGTGGATTAGATTTATAGGTGTTCCCCTACACGCTTGGTCATTGCCCATTTTTTGTAAACTTGCTAATAAGTGTGGAGAATTATGTGATGTTGATAAAGCTGCATTTGATGGGGTAGATCTGTGAAATGTTAGAGTACGAATATGGATATTGGAAGGGGCCCCCATCCCACAGTTTTTGGCTTTACAGGTGGGCTAGGAATGTTTCTCTATATCAGTAGTGAAGGATATCAAAGGTACGAACTGTAATCTTTCGGTGTCACAACATATTACTTCTGATAAAGGGGAAAATAATGGATGGCAAGAGGTGAGATGACGGCAACGTAGATCGACGAAAATTAGAAATTCCGGCCAATTGCATAAGGGAGGCTTCCGGAATTCTAGGAATGGAAAACGGGAGTTTCAAATTTTGAAAAATTTGAATATACGCAAGCGTTGGATTCTTGTTGATCGTTTCGCCAATAGTTCGCCGTTCTTTAAGGTAGATGTTCCCGATTTTGCTACTGGTTCACAAGGGACGAATGAGGGACCACCGAAGGAAACTTTATGTGACAATGAGATAAAGGCAGTTTCTGCTCGATGCAAGGATGTTGACCCCTAGACTTTGGGATTTGTGTTTATGGTGGAGGATGGGCACGTGATACCGAATGACTTATCGAAGAGATTTTTGGAAGGAGATTTTATATTTCCTATGCATGCCTTAAAGGTGGTGGATAAACAACCAATTTCATTATCGTTTGGTTTAAGGAAGAATGCAACTTCCCCTGCAAATAAGTTGGCTATTATGCTAGAAGATCTTAGGCTCAGGTCGGTGTCGACGCTTCATGTGGTGCTTGCTATTTTGGTAGTAATGTACCACCTATGGTTTCGTTTAGCGGTAAGGAAGACCCGGGTATCCCAAAAGTTAGGCTTTGATCCACTTACAGTAGACACGATGACGTTGGTGATGATCGATGAGCAAGTGGAACCCAGTGCAGCGGTGGAAGAGATGGCTTGGGAAGATTCTTCGATTGCTTTGGCTGAGGATGAAGTGCCAGTGCAAGGGGATGAGCTCGGGTTGGTGTCAAGGATGGAAAAGGAAGATTTGGCTCCACTGTCTATGGTTCATGAGGACTGACCCTTGCTCCTGAAGTCGCTTGGGGAGTTAGGGAAGGTTTCATCTGAAGTCATTTTTCAGAGTGAGGCTACGACTGCAGTGGAGGTTGATGGCGAACTTTCTCAGACTTTTCAGATAGAGAACTTGGGCACGGCATTGGAAGCCTCAGTATTGGAGGATGGTCAACAAATTGCTAAAATGCTGAATGTAATGGGGATGGATGAGGTTCCCATTAGAGTGGTCTTCGACGAAATCAAGAATTGTCGTAGGAGAAAGAGCTGAGAGTGTGGATGCAACCACACCGAAAGTGACCCCCAAAGAGGCTGCTTCGATTCCGGCCAACATGGAATGTACTGTGAAGACTCTGGCCAAAGAGAAGGCAAAAATGAAAAATAAACAGATGATGACAGTGGGGACGAGGTCTTCGGCGCGGTTGCAAGCACGTGGAGTTATCAAGAAGGGACCGCCTGGAGGAATTCGATGTCACGACCTGGAGTTGATTGAAGTTGGTTATTCTTCCTCCTCTTTCTCAAGCGTTGATTCCAGTAGAGATGATGATGACGAGATCAATGCAGCCCTACTCTTGGAGGAACATTATTTTGGTTCAAGTCCTCACGGACCAAGTGCTTCTTCTTCTAACCCTTAATCTTATGAATTTTGTTGAATGTACGGGGTTTGGGAGATCCCAGTAGGAAAAATGATGTTCGGTTTTTGGTTTATAATTTTAAACCAGCTATTTTACTTCTACAAGAAACCAAACTTCCTCGGCCCACTGTTATTGGGGCTAAGGGAATTCAGGGTTCAAGGGTTGTGGCTTTTTGTGGGTTAGATTCTGTGAGACAATCTGGGGGAATTTGGGTTTTGTGGGACGTGCTGGTCTTACAAAATTTTGTTGTTATTGTTAAAAACTTTTGTGTTTTTTTGGGTTTTCATGGTCCGAGGTATGGTTTTTCTTGGGGGCTTTTGACTGTTAACGACCCGAACTCTTCTACGCTTCAGGAAGATTTCATTTCTGAGTTGAATTCTGTTATTTATGACTTCTATTTTTTGGTGGTTGGTGGGGGGGGGGGGGGGGGGGGGGGTATTTTAATCTTATTCGATGGCCAAAGGAGTGCATGGCAGCCACTCCTATTAATTCCTCTATGAGACTCTTTAATCGGTCAATTGAAAGCAATACTTTAATGGATCCGCCTATTATTGGATCCAAGTTCACTTGGTCTAATAATAGTTTAGTGAGGCCAACGATGTCTAAGATTGATTGTTTTTTGCTTTCAATGGAATGGCTTGAGGAGTTCCCACTTACAACTGTCAAGACGATACAGAGGTTGAGTTCTGATCATCAACCTATTCTTTTAAGTACGTCTACAACGAATGGTAGCTCAAAACCATTCAGATTGAATTTGGAGTGGCTGCAGCTGGACGAGGTTAGGGATTTGATTAAAGGAGTCTGGACTAACTGTGTGGTTGAAGGCACGATGGACTTCCAATTACACAATAGGCTGCTTATTATAAAGCGCAAATTGATTGATTGGAAGAAAGAAAATAATTTCGATGTCCAAAGAAATTTAGACAAAGTATTACATGATTTAGAGAATCTAGATCAGAATATCCAAGATAGTGGATTGGTCTCTGAGCACTTTTTTGTGGATAGGAGTGAGAAATTGAAGGAGTTAGGTGATTTAAGAAGAGCTGAAGAGATTTATTGGAGGCAAAGGTCGCGATTCAAATGGCTTAAGGAAGGGGATCTCAACACAAAATACTTTCATGTAATTGCTAGTGCAAGAAGACGGCAGAATGATCTTTCGGGATTGACTTTTCCTGGGGTCGATCCCGATGATGAGCAGGCTATTAAGTTAAGCAATGATTAATCACTTTGAAAAAGCTTTCTCTAAGGAGGTCTCCTTCACTTCGAAGCTCCAAAGAGTTCTTTTTAAAGTTCTACCTAGTAACTTGAAGATCGATTTACAAAGAATAGTGACTATGGATGAGTTGAAACAGACGTTTTTTGGCCTCCTTGGAAATAAGGCTCCAGGTCATGATGGATTCCTTTTAGCCTTTTTTCATATTTTTTGGGAATTGGTTAAAGGGGAATTGTTAAAGATGGTGAGAGGGTTCATGATCTCAGGGCATGTGTTTCGAGGAGTGAATTCTACCTTTTTGGCCCTGATCCCTAAAAAATCAGTCATTCTAGAGAATTTGGATGTGAGACACATAAGTCTGCTCACTAGTTTATATAAGATCATTGCAAAGGTCTTGGTTGTGAGGCTGAAATGAGTGCTGCCGCAGTTAATCCCAGGTACGCAAGCTGCTTTTATTGAAATTAGGCAGATCACAGATAGTATATTGTTGGCACGTGAATGTATCCACTCACGTGTGATGGAAAAGAGGCTGGGGGTCATGCTGAATTGGATATGAAAAAGGCATATGATCGAATGGAATAGGGAGATTTATTAGAGATTATGAAAATGATGGGGGTTTGGTGATAGGTGGTTAAGTTGGATTTGAGGATGTTTATCTTTAGCACATTTCTTTGTTATCTTCAAAGGGAGCCCTATTGGTTTCTTTAAGGCTTCTAGAGGCTTGCGTCAAGGAGACCCTTTGTCCCCATTTCTTTTCACAATTTATGCTGAATGCTTCAGTTTGATACTCTCTAATATTGACCATCTTTTTTTTTCAGGTTTTAAGATTGCTAACTCCTCCATTGTGATTTCTTACCTATAATATACCGATGATACCCTAATCTTTTGCGATGCCGATGCTACTCAAGTTAATCAGATTACAAGGTTTCTGGAATGCTGCGAGGTGACATTGGGCATTAAAGTTAATTTCAATAAATCTTCAATTATTGGGATTAATTGTATAGCTTCAGAGGTTGGAAATTTGGCAAATTCGATTGGATTTAAGGTGTGTAGCTTTCCTGTTATCTACTTGGGGATTCCGATCTCAGATTTGAGACTCTCTATCTCGGTTTGGGATAGGATTATAGAGCAGGTTCAGGTAAAACTTGCTCTTTGGAAACCCAAATATCTCTCATTGGGTGGGATATGAATTCTATTCCAGGATCGATTGCAAAAAACCTGAAAAAAATGATGAGAGACTTTCTATGGGGCTCCTTTGAAAGCAATTGAAAGTATCACTTTTTGAGATGAGATAGAATATGCACTCCGAAGAAGGAAGGTGGTTTGGGGATTCGCAAAATAAAAACTTTTAGCCTTCGTTATAATGTAAATGGTGGTGGTGCAACCTTCTTTTAAAGGACCATCTTTGGTATAAAGTTTTACTTGCTAAATATGGTATGGATAGATCCCAATTGTGGTTAGGTAGTAATAGAGGGCAAAATTTGTCACTACTGTGGAAATCTCTATTGAGTTATAGACCTATGATTTCAGGCAATTTTCGCTTGGCAGTGGGAAGCGGTGAGAAGGTTTCATTTTGACATCATAAGTGGCTAGGGGATTACCCTTTGAAGTGGACTTTCTGGGATCTATACAGCATTATAACAAGACCCAATTTAAAAGTCAGTGAGGCGATAGATTGGAGAGGGCAAAATATTTATTGGGACATACAAATTGCTAATGGACGTTTAAGCAATGAGCTTCTCGGCCAATGGTGTCAACTTATGGAGTCACTTGATGAAGTCTATGTTTCAATCAACGGTGACGATGAACTGATCTGGGAAATTGAAAGTAATGGCCTATTCTCAGTGAAATCTTGCTATAACTTATTTTTTCATGATCGATGGAGATGGTCGAATAGTAACATTGCACAGATGTGGAAATGACCAATTTCTCATAAGGTACAGATTTTTGTTTGGTTGGCAGCACAAGATAAAATTCTAACTGTGGACAATTTGATTAAGAGAGGAAAATTTATGCCTAATGTGTGTCTCTTATGTAAACAAGATGCTGAAAATGGAGCACACCTCTTAATTTATTGCCCCTTTACTACGAGGCTGTGGTATTGGTTTCTAGGGATGGTGGGTGTTCTAATGCCATTACCACAATCAATAGAGGGTATTGTATCATCTTTGAAAGTCACGTCTTTACTAAAAAAAGGGCAGCAAATTTGAAAAATCTGTGTTGGTACAATCCTTTGGGAAGTGTGGAGGGAGAGGAATCGAAGGACCTTTGAGGGAGTTGTTTGCTCCTTTGATCGTTTGCTCCACGTTTGTAAGACTACGATTTGGGCTTGGTTGTCGGTTCAAAAGGAAGGATGGGGTATTAGTAAGGTGGATGTTATTGTCAATTTGCATAATTTATTCTCTCTAAGACATAGTATTGCTCGTCCTAGAAATATCTTGATTGCTCCATGCCCTGATGATAGAACTTAGATGGAAGTTCTATTGGCAACTCAAGGCCGGCTGGAATTGGTGTTGTTTTGAGGGATTGCTATGGAAGTGTTGTTTTTTCCTTTGCTGGGCACATAGGTGTCAAAACTGCTACTTTTGCTAAACTAAGCACTTTATTGTGTGGCTTGAAGATCTTTTTGGGAAAAAATCTACACTCAAGCTACGTTATTGAAGGTGATTATCTAAATGTGATTAAGTGGTGTAGATTGAAACAAAAAGTTCCATGAGAACTTTAGTCTCGTTGGTTGTATGTCATGGATTTAGTGACAAGTTTAGCAGTATCCTTTTTGCATGTTTATAAGGAGGCTAATTTTGTGGCTGACCTTCTTGCCAAAGGGGGTACTTCTTTATCCTCTCTAGTTGTTTCTGATGATGTCATTTCCTTAGATTAAAGTCTAATAAAATTATTGATCTTGCTCAAAAAAAAAAAAAGTCTCTATCATATAATATTTTGTATTTTTAAAAAAATATGTCACGCAACTAAGTTTCTTTAATAATAGGTAAGTTGTAGTCAGAATAGGAAATTATTTCTATTGATATAAATATTTTTTTCGAAGGAAGGTTCTTCTCCCTCTTAACTTTTATCTTATTTATATCTTAAATATATCGTATAGTTTATTTTATAAAATTTATGAAAATCCTATGACATCCTTCATTTTGTGGGTCATGGTGATCTCTCTTTCCTTATTGGCTAAACTCTCTCTATATTGTCTTGAAAATCATGGGAGATCCTAATTTTATGATTATCGTGATTTCGTGATGATAGAATTCAAAGTGAATATATTCAATGAATTTTTGTGATAATCATATATCAAATGTGTGATATTCTGATTATAAAATATATATTTCTGATTTTTTATAATAAAAAATAAAGAAAATAATATGTGTTCTTGAGTGTATTTTAGCGGGATAGTTCTCTTGTATTTTAGCCAACTCCGAATAGTTGGAAAAAGGCTAAGAGGATGATGAATTCTCTTGTATTTTAAGAAAGAGGATTCCTTCGAGTGCAACTTTTTTTTTTTTAAATGAAAAAATTTATATAAGGTTGATGTGTTGAATTGTAGAGTTTCAGGTACGCTATAAAAATGCATAGAAAAATGTTGTTTTGATGTTGGAAAACTATCTAATTGATCATCTTGGCATCGAGATGTATGAATCATTATCATCATCATTTGAGTTTTGTCCTACTATTTGGAGTTAGTTACATGAATCTTATTTCGTCTTTCTACTCTATCAAAGGTTAGATCTTTAGTCAGACCATAAGTCATTATAGCCCTTTCCACTACTTCCATGCATATCCTTTTGGGCCTTCCTATTACTCTTAATAGTCTTTTACTTGAACCAATTTATTCATCCTGGTGCTGTATTTGGAGCCACCCTTAAGTTTCATTGAATATATTCACTTTGAATTCTATTATTTCTTGTCTTGCCACTCATCTATCTCAATATCATCATCTAAGCTATAATCATCCTATAGATATGTTGTTTCTCGATAGCCCAACATTTTGTCTCACAAAGCATTGCTGACCTTACAACCGTCCTAAAAAAGTTTCCTTTTAGTTTTATTGATATGAGGCGATCACATGACATTTTAGATGCACGTCTCTACTTTGCGTACCTAGTCTATGTGCGACATCTTCATCAATCTCTCTATGCTCTAGAATTATCACTCCAAGATATCAAAAATAATATCTTTTAGGTATTTTTTGCCATCAATCTTATCTACTTTCTTGTTTTCACTTATATTATCAGTTTATTATTAAACTTGTTTTCCATATATTTTGCATTTTATATATTCTGTTTTAGTGTGGCTAATTGTAAAACCTTTAGGAGTTGAGATATACAAAAATAGAAAAAGAAAATTAAGTCACAAAAATAGTACATCATGCAATACATTATCTAGACTGCCTATTTTTAAGATTTTTATACATTATCTAGACTGCCTATTTTTAAGATTTTTATGCATTTATAGATTTTAAAGTTTTAAAATTTTATAATTAAAAGTAAAAATAAATTTTAGAGCTACCTTAATAATTTTCAACACCAAAATTACATGATATGACAAAGTTTTTATGAAAAAGTTTGGACGTGCAGCTTGCTATGCAAACCACAAGGATTTGATAAAAGGAGTTATTTTTACATTGCCGCCATGACTTGGGTGGCAACAACAAAACCACATCGGCGAATTTAGCAAATCGCTTTTGAAAATTTGACGTTTTCGGTGTTAAACGATGGAATAATCGAACGCAGGGCATGGCATATTCGTTCTGATTCGATTTTAGAGAGAGAGAGACTGGTTCTTCAGATTTTAGAGAGAGATGGTTATTTAGTTGGTCCGTTACGAGACCAGCGGGAAAGAGAGAGAGATTAAGCCCAAGAGGAGCTCACTGGACATGGAGGTGGTTAGAGAGAGAGAGAGAGTTTAGCTGGTTTGTTACAGCGAGGTTTGAGAGAGAGAGAGAGAGTGTGCGTTTTGAATACCTGCTCCACACCGCCAAAAGGGCGACATCAAATCAGATCGTTGAAGAAAAACTCTCTCTCCTCTCTCTCTCTCTCTCTCTCTCTCTCTCTCTCTCTCTCT